TCCTCATCCTCAGGTGAAGGACCCTGTTATTCTCCAATTTCATCATCCTTTCTCCTGCCTGGAACCGGGGCAGTGATGTGCTGTGTTACAAAAACACTTAATGTCTCAGACACTTTTGCGGCTCAGAATGGCCAATGAAATTTTAGTTCTGAGGACTAATATGTACACCCTAGGAAAGGCCCATGTTTTAAATAATAAAATCAAGTACTTTTACTGCTCCACATTTGTGCTATGCTATTGTTTTATGTATTTCTCCTCTTCTGCTTGGAGGAATTGTGGCTGCTGTGTTTTTTCCGTGAAGAGGACGGCTATTCCACGTGGACAGTAGAACAGGAAGATTGGAGAAGCTCGTCCTTGAGGCCTAGGTTGAGCCATGTCACCCAGCTCCCAGGCTGCCCATGACAGGCTGTTGTGCCTTGAGAAAAACGCACTCCTTACTTTCTACAGCTACCAGTGGCTGGAACACTAGGGGCCTGGAGTTGACTGAAAGCAGTGTGACACCTGCACTAAGAGGGTTGGTATCCTTCCCATCTGACAGATAAGAACTGACATCCCAGGAGAGTTCTGGCTTTGCTTCTCTCAGGAGAAAGGGGCCACATGTGTCCAAGTCTAACAAGGACCTGTACTTGTTTTCTCTGAGATATTTTTTGGCATCTGTATTGGAAAATGAAAATAATGGGTCTGTTTATTTTTATTGAATAGTATAGTATATTTACAAATTCAGGAAATTAGTTCTTTGTTCCTAGAACTGCAAGTCATTTCCAAAGTTTGTCCTTTTACTGTTAGCTTTTTCTGCAGTGTACAAGATATTTTGGATTTTCATGTAGTTTTAAAAAGTTGTTTTTTGGTAATTGCTGAATTTTGTGTTTTTCACACTGAGGTTTGTGAAGCACAATCTTCCATGTGTTAGTGCTTCTGTGTCCTGGTGGTGGAAGCTGAGAGGGGTCCATGGAGATTGATAATAAAGATTGAAAATAAAATTGTTTCTCATTTTCAGTCTTTTCTGGAAAAAAATTCTCTAAATGGAAGTGGCCACGGGGCAAAGATGAAATCAAAGGTACTATCAGTACAACATAGGTTCAGAATAGAATACAGTTATGGCTGTAAGGATGTCCATGGCAACTCAAAAGGGAAAAGGGAGGGCAGAGAGATTTGTTTTTCTTCTAGAAAAAAGTCTTCTATGAATCTCAATGGCTTGACAGCAGCCTGCCTTTTGGGAGTGAAACACCTGTCAATGGTATTATGAAAAACATATTGTTTCTTGGTAGAATTTTATTAAAATTATTACTAGTTTAATTTAACTAGTAAACGCGATCTCTTTAAAGAGAGAGAGAGTTGAGACCAACTCTTTCTTTGGACATTGGGATCATCTACGTTTTGGATTTAAAGGGGGACCCTTTCTTTCACTGGTCATTCTGCAAAACCATCTCTACTGACCGGTTTCTGCACTCCCCTTCTCTGGTCATGATTTGAGACCACTGATGGTCTCAAATTTAGTAGCCTATATTTTTGGTGTTGCTGGCACACTGAACCACTAGTTCACCTATCTGGCAGATACAGCTAGGAACAATTTGTATGCTTATCATCAGAAAATATCCACACACATCAATGCCCTTCCACTTCTTAAAATTAAAGAACAAGTGACATAGCCCAATGGATCCACCTAACCTGGAGTCAACAACACTTTCTGGACACTCCATAGAAATCTTTCACTTTTGAGTTCTATCACAAATGGATTGAATCTTGTAGGTTAAAATTGTCTTAATTCAGAATTATGGAGCTGGCCAGGTAGCTCAGTTGGTTAGAGCATAGTTCTAATACATCAAATTTGTGGGGGGTTTTCCCTCTCAGGTAACATATAAGAAACAACCAACAAATGGATAATAATAAGTGGAATAGCAAATCCTTGTTTCTCTATCTCAAAAATAAATAAAAAAAGAATTATGCTCATTTTCTTGGTTTGTTGTTGCCGTGTGATGCTGTAGTTGTGCACCACTGATATTCAAAGGCCGATCAACTTATTGTAGACTATTCAGGGCAGAATTCACTACATAAGTGAACCACTCCCATCAGTCTTTTGGGAAAAAAAAGAAAAGCCTAACAGTGAGTTTAATGCTTGAAGTTTATTATGGAGAGAGAAAGAAGAAATGGCACAGGTTCAAAGACTGAAAGTTGCTTCAGTTCTTCAGTGGCATCTCACAGTCCTTCGGGTCTCTGTGCAAAAGTTTAGCGACAGCAAAGCGTGCGTCGACGGCCATATAACCAGCAAGACCCAGCTTTTTTTACTGGGAAGTTACAGAAATTCTTGAGTGTGCAAAAGCAGTAGGTTCCTGTCCCACG